AGTTTCATCTTATCGAACCCCAGGGCTCCTTAAGAATGAACATTACTAAAGAGCCTGGCATGTCCTCCTCCCCACAACCATGTGACAAGCATTTGCCAAAGCCAGCGGTCCCTGCAGCTCAGGTCCTAGTGGCTGTGGTCTGAATGCTGGGGACGTCACCACCCTCAGAGGAGGACGAGGTCAGGTTCCCCTTTCTGAGTGCAGCTCTGTTCCTTTTAGAACGCCATCACCCCACCCCTCAGCCTCTGAGCATGATGTGTGTGTTTGGGGGCTGTGTGGGTACCAGGGCTCAGCACGAGGCCCCTCTGAGTATGGGATGCCCACCTCTGCTGTCAGTGTGGTCACTGTGATTACCCTTTTTTCCGAGATGGAGAAATTAAGGTCACACAACCCCAAACGGCAGACTCGGGCTTAGAATCAGACTTCGCAGGCTTTCGTTTGTCTAGAAGTCTCCAGAAGCCACCTTGAACACAGCAGAATGGGCAAAGCAGCTCTTCAGCTGCGATTCTGATTCTTGTTTGGGGCTATCTCGGGGCATCTTACAGAGCTTATTTGGCAACTTCTGCTGCTCCCTGTGTGCCTGGGCCTGTGTAGGGTGACATGGGGCCCCCAAGAGCCCTCAGACCCAGGTCTGGCCTCGAGCGACTCCAGGTCTGCAGGAGACCCAGCCAGACACAGCCAACTCCTGCCCTGGGCCTACCAGGCTAGAGTGTTGACAGGCATTGCGAGTTTGTGAGTGGCCTCATGCAGGACACTCCTCAGGATCACACAAATCTTAAAAACCAGATTCTGGGGCCGGCCCCGTGGCTTAGCGGTTAAGTGCGCACACTCCGCTGCTGGCAGCCCGGGTTCGGATCCCAGGTGCGCACTGACGCACCGCTTCTCCGGCCATGCTGAGGCCACGTCCCACACACAGCAACTAGAAGGATGTGCAATTATGACATACAACTATCTACTGGAGCTTTGGGGAAAAAAAATAAATAAAATATTAAAAAAAAACAAACCAGATTCTGTGGGGGAAGCCTGCCTGGGAGCCAACGGGGACTCTCCCTCCTGGTGGCTTCCAGACAGAGGCCCCTCCCCAGGCCTAGAGGAGGAGAGGAGTTTTTCCCATTCTGCTCTGCATTCTGAGGTCTTGGAAGGGCTTGGTTCAATTTTGAAAAGCTTTGAGACCCACTTGGAGCTCATCTTCAAGGTGCCAGCCACGGGCGGCATGAAGTCCCTGGGCTTTTGTGTCCCTGAGGAGGCGTACCCTGCACAGCCATGGCTATGTTGAAGCTGGGCCTCAGGAGTTGGTTTTGAAGATTTATAAGTCTCTCAGCTACATGACAAGTGTGCCCTTGGCTGCCAGGGGCCGCTGTATAAGGAGTTCTCGCAGTGCCACCCTGAACCCAAAATTCAGGCCAGCGGGGCTTGTGATTCCTGGGCTGAGCGGGGTTGGAGCAGTGCTGCAGGTCACTGTGGGGTCAGGGATGGGTGTTTATGGCCCCAACAGCTCTTACTGAGCTCATCCTGGGGATTGGGCAGGGGGTGGGGGGGGGCACTGTACAGTCACAGGGAGTCAGGGTTGGAGGGTTATCATGTCCTGGTGCCCCACAACCCCATGTCTGAGGCAGCCTCCCATAAGAGTGGGCTCGTGTGTAGAAGAGAAACCTCCCTTCCTCCCTCTTTTGTCCATTCACCCCTCATTGCTCCTACCAGGGCAGGCTGCTGCCTCCTCCCAGGCCCCAGGACCCCTGAATCTGCATTTCTAATCAGCTCCTGACCTAGGTCCAGAGCTAATGCTGCCAGTGCCTTTTTCTCTCATTAGAAACACAAAGGCACATAGAGTTGCCCCTGGCTGTGTCTCACTGAGGAGGCACGTGCATAGCTGAGGAGTGGGGACAGTTTATTTTTCCCCAAGGTGTTGAGGATTACTTCAGAGAGGGCCATTTGAGATAGGCTCTGAAGTAAGAGTAGGAGTTTGCCAGGTGGCAGGAGGAGGGCACAGCTTGTGCTGGGTGTGGCAGGTGGCGCGAGGGCTGTCCCTGCCACCAGCCCCAGCCATGCCCCCAACTCCCTGGCTGCTCTTGGTCAACAGGAGAGTAACAACATGGTGGTGCCTGCCATGCAGCTGGCCAGCAAGATCCCAGACATGTCAGTCCAGCTATGGTCATCAGCCCTGTTGAGAGGTGAGTGCGGCAGCTGGCCCTTCCCAGAGATCAGGGCTGCTGGGCAGAGCCCAAGGCTAGAAGATGCCAGGTAAGCCCTGCTCAGCCTCTGCTCAGACCAGGCCTCTACAGGCCATAGCCCCAGTTCTAGCACATTCTCAGGCTCATTAGGAGGCCCTGTTTGAGGGCAGTGGGCACTGGGCTTATTCGTGTTGTCAGCTCGACGCAGGATCTGGTTCAATTTCTCCAGGACCCACAAGACTGGTTCTTGGCGTCTGGGTAAAAACTTGGGCTATGAGTCCTGATGCTCAGCCTCAGTTTCATTCCTCCTGAATGGTGGTGACAGGAGTCATCCCTGTCAGGCAGGACTAGCTGGGATGCTCTGGGTACAGGTCAGGTGCTCAGCAGACATCAGGGTTGTTACTGCTGCTCCCCTGTTTACAGATTGTGAAGCGTGGTCCAGAGACTTACCCAGGGCTCTGGGGAGGAGATAGGGGGCGGGCTGCTCCCATCTGCAGTGGGCTGTGTGGGTCCTTTCAGTCCTGCTTCAGAAGTAGGTGTTGAGTGCCCTGCTCCCAGCGAGCTCCTCTGTGCCCAAGGGTTGACCAGGAACTCCCTGGGAAGGCCAGCGTCCACAGGGAGCCCTGCGGGCTTTCACTGACTGGCCAGCCCTTGTATCTGCCCCTGTGGGCCTCATTGCTCACCCACCTCTAAGGACACATGACTCAGAAACTCAGGAAGGGGCATGTGAGGGCTGCTGGCAAGTTGGCTTTGCTGACCCTGAGACAGGGCTCAGGGCAGGTGCCATGCCAGGCGCACAGGCCCACTGGTGGAGCTGGGGGCTTGATCCTAGGGCTCCACCCACACCTGAGGGAAGGGCGTGGGGGCGGTGGCAGGGCAAAGTGGGCCCACCCTGTATGTGTGTCCCACCCTCAGACCTGAACAAGGCCTGTGGGAATGCCATGGATGCCCACGAAGCTGCCCAGATGCACCAGAACTTCTCACAGCAGCTACTCCAGGACCACATTGAGGCCTGCAGCCTCCCTGAGCACAATCTCATCACGGTACGGGCATGGGGTGGGAGGACAAAACGGGGATGCCGGTTGGCTCCTCCGGGCCAGCTGAGCTGGCCTGCAGCCCCCAGGGGGCACACTCTCTGAGGAGAAAAGTATACTCTTGGTTGCCATGTCCCCGCATCTCTCCAACAGTCCCTAACAGCCTGGCTTCAGGAGCCCCCTCAGATGGGGGAGACAGCCCCAGTCACCCAAGGAGGCGGTGCAGGGTGCTTCCCGGGGGCCCATCTGACTTGGGTTTGGAGGTCAGAGAGCCCTGGCTGGGTGACTAGCCTGAGGAGGGCAGCATTCCAGGCACAGACACACGGCCAAGCACACCCCTGCTCCCCAGGAAGGATCTCACCTGTGTGTCCTTTCCCCCAACAGTGGACAGATGGTCCGCCCCCTGTGCAGTTCCAAGCTCAGAATGGACCCAACACCAGTCTGGCCAGCCTCCTGTAAAGCCCCTGGAGGGGGCCACCCAGCTTCTCAGGGCCTCCATGGGGCCTAATGTGTCCCTGACTTCCACCCAGACAGCTCCTGAGCTTTCCTTGGACGCGTGCTGGCGTGGACATCCTCAGCTTCTTTGCTGACTGTCTCCAGAGCTTCCAAGTCCCTGGGGAGTGTGCAGGGCTGATTCCTGCCCTCCCAGGAAGGGCCAGCCAGCCGTTCCCACCATGTACCAGGACCCCTAGTGTGGAGGTTCACAGATGGGATGTTGGAGCCGACTTTCCAGAGCCATCCTTTAAAGTGGGCTTGAACTGTCAGTCCTGCTTCCATGTCTGAGTCACGCCTTTGAGGGAGCATGTCTGGGTGGGGAGTGGGCTGCTTGCCACGGGCCAGGTCCTGATCCTGCATGCTGGGGTGGGCGGTATTGCCGAGGTGTTGCCGCCTGACTTCCATTGCCTGGACCTCGATGCTGGCCTGGAGTGTTTCTTCTGCTCACGGCAGCTTCCAGAAACCAGAGGCAAGACGCCAGTTTCTGGCCCAAAACTGGAGGGAAGAAATGATGGCTCACAGAAGGGACAAAAATGCACGTTCCAGCATGAAACTTTTCCTAGCTTACATTTCTCTCCGGTGTCTGCTCTTCTGACAGTGGGGCCTTTGGTCAGGACCCTGGGGGACCCAGGAACTCGGCTTCCAAACATCTGCACCTTGACTGGATTCGTGATCCAGCTGTGTGGGTGGCTGTGCTTGTAGACACAGGTGTGTGTGCGTGTGCATGTATGTGTGGTGATTCACAGAGCTGGAGCCGGGAGCGGAGACACTTGTGTTTGCACCACCTGCCTTCCCGCGTCAGCATTGATATGGCAGGAAGCAGGGGAAAGGGGAGAGGACCCTCCTCAGCCCAACTCAGGGTGCTAGAATGAAGACGCTTGCTTTCTGGCAGCAGTGTGGCCTCCTCAGCAGAGGACTTATGCCAACACCTGATGCTCAGCAGGCCTGCAGGCAGTGGCTCCCCTGGCCCCCGCCCTGCCCTTGGGAGGGAGGAGGAGAAGGAGGAGGAGACCTACCTGCCTTGCATCTCCGGACGGTGTTGAAACCTCTTCCTCAGCTGGACCCCAGGAGGCTCTGCCAGCCCAGGCAGCCATGCTCAGTTCTGTGCTCCTCTTGGATAATCGGGGAGGTGCCCCAGTGGGGATGGTGGCATCGGGGGCAGTCTAGGCAGCAACCCCTTCCAGCTTTTGGAGTGATGAGTGGTCTTGCAAGTCAGAGTGGCTTGTTGGTTTGCATCTAATTACGCTTGCACTGTGAAGGCTGCTGCTTGAAGCCTCAGTGTCTGTAATGGAAGGAACACTGGGATCGTTCAGGTCAGCTGCTTGGGCCGGGAGGCCTGGGTGTGCCTCAGCCAGACACAGAGCTGTCAGCAGACCTCCCTGTGCTGGGCCACTGCCCACTTCGGGTCCAGTGAGAAGCATTCAAGTGAGCCACTGGTCGGAGAGACAGGCTGGCCAGGGCTTGTCTTAAGAGGACCCACCATCTCTGCATCATCCTGGGTCACCCAAGGGAGCCTGGCCCTGTCTCATGCTGCTCGGGGCTGCCCCCTCGGCTGACACCCCTAGGCCCTTGAGGCCTGTGGAGGAGAGTGTGACGCCCGGCCATAAGCTGTCCCCGTCTTGTCTTCCTCTCCTGTCGAGGGTGCCCCCCAGGCCCTCCTCTCTACCTGTGGGACAGAGTCCCCATCTCGCCGCAAGCTGTGCCTGCCGGTCTGGACGCCACACTCTCCAACCTCTGCAGACTCACATTACTTCAATCACGCTGTACATCATGTTTGTCTCCGCATATTTATTTAAACCCTTCTTTGCTTCTAGGGCATTTTGTATGTAGAGCAGGTGAAATAAGAATCTCAAAACTTAACGTCTGTCCTGATGTTAAAGTGCTTTTAGTGACCACCCGGTTGTCTATGTATATGTAAAGTTAAGGGTAAGTTCTTAAGTTTACAGTTAAAAATTCAGTACTCGATATTTAATATTTTCTTCTAGCTTTATGGAAGCCAAACCGTGTGTACCTGAGTGTGTGCATGTGTGAGCTTTGAACCTCCCCTTCACCATAGCATCTTCCGATTATGAAGTTTTCAATAAGTACCTTCCTGTGAGTCCAAATTTAGTGCCTCACGGTTTCTCACTCAGTCATAAGAATTTAAGACAGGCAGCAAGCAAGCCCCCAGGGAGATGTTACCCACAGTGTCATATAGCTAAGTGTTTAGGAAAAAGAAATAAAAACTCCAAACTCTTCAGCGTACAGGGCATGAGGGAGTAGCAGCAAGATTCCTGTTGGCAGGTAAATAACTGAAAGCTTGTGAGACCCTTGTGTATTCCTCCCACCTCCTGTCAGCAGTAGTGGTTCTCAGGGCCTTCAGGGTTGGGGGGCTGGTCCAGGAGGTGCTGGGTTCCCTTGCAGACACGCAGCTGCTTCCCCCTAGCTGGGTCCCTGCAGTGGCCCATGGGTGAGGCGAGGGTCCTCTCCATGGGGCAAGGACTCCCTATCCCATTTATTGGGAACACAGGCAAGGAAACTGGATAAGGGCTGCCTGGCGTGGTGGGTAAGTTTGTTGGTTGCGTTGTCTCTGTTTCGTTAAGGGTTTTTAATAAGTGTGTTTGGCGTAGTGTCTTTCAATGGGTTTGTTATATCTTATGGTTTTAGCAGCCTGTAACTTCAGCTGGTGCTTTTAATCAGGAAAAAAAAAATTTGTAAATACAAAACATTGTTTAAAAGACATAACCATAGAACCTAGCTTCCCGTTTGTGGGTTTCTTTTCCTGTATATTCAAAGTAAAATAACTTGCAGGAGCCATCAGTTGCTGTGTCTTTGTTGTGCTGTCTGACCCTCTCATGCGCCACCCAGAGACGAGCTTTCGCCCTCGCTGCCCAGCCAGTGGGGCCACAGGGACTTCTGCTAACCTACAGGGCGTGAGAGCGCAGAGCCTTGTACCCTGGACAGGAGGACCCAGTGGAAACCTGAATTTTCTTCCCCTCTGTTGATGTCCCTCCAGTTCAGCCCTGACTAGAGGGGAGGGAACCCCTGAGAATCAGAATTGCAGCCCTCACCACAGACTTGGTCACTCACATGGTGTTCTGTTACCTGTGCTCTTAGAAAACGTGGGCTGGCCTCTGTGTGGCTGGGCATTTTTTTTTTTCTTTTTTGAAGTGAAAGTCACATAACATAAAATTAGCCACTTAATGTGTACAATGCAGTGTCATTAAATATATTCACAATGTTGTACAACTGTCATCTCGTACTCGAACATTTTATCACCCCAAAGGGAAATATCCCATACCCCTTAGCAGTCACTCCCCATTCCCTGCTCACCCCCAGCCCCTGACAACCACTAATCTACTTTCTGTCTCTATGGATCTACTTCCCAATAAGTGGACATTTAATATAAATGGAATCATACGCTATGTGGCCTTTTGTGTCTGACTTCTTTGACTCAGCATGATGTTTTCAAGGTTCATCCATGTTATAACGTGTGTTAGAGCTTCAGTCCTTTTTATGGCTGAATAATATTCCATCATGGATCGACCATATTTAGTTGATTCAGTTGCTGGACATTTGAGTTGCTTCCCCCTTTTGGCTATTTTGAGTAATGCCCATACACATTTTTGTTTGAACGTGTGTTTTCAATTCTCTCGGGTTGTGCAGTATTTTTAATATGCGTGGATGGTTGCCAGGCTGCCGCCCACACTGCACCAAGGCCCTCCTGTTGCTTGTGTTGCTCTCATCACTGTGCCCCGAGGTGGCTTCGCTCCCAAGAGCACATCTGAGCACTCCTTTAGGCTGTGATCCCGGGGCAGAACCACTGGCCATTGGATGCGTGAGTTATTCTATGCAGCCCTGCCTAGAAGGACCCCCAGCACAGTGACCCTGCCACCCCCACGTCAAAGCCATCTTCCCTCTGCCCCATCCCTGCCAACTCAGCCTCAGGTGGCTTTATCATGCAGGATGGACTCTGCCTGTCCCTGTCGTCGGCTTGGATGCCGTTTCTTCCACCTTGAGCCTCACAGCCCCTGTGCGGGAATTGCATCCTGAGCTCACTCACTCAGAGCACAGCTACAAGCCCATTATGCGACAAGCTGCACACCAGCAGGCATGTGGCCTCCAGCTGGGAGGAATGAATCATGTGTGACCAGGAGCCTAGTCCTGAGATGGCCACTCTTGCATGGAAATGGCCCTGGACACAAGCAGTCACCTCAGCTGCAGCCAACTGGGGCTGGGCTCCTTGCAGCCTCCCTGGGACCTCAGACCTCAGTACCACATGGAAGTGAGTGGCTTTCCCCCATAGGCAGCATCCACATCGGTCGTCCAGTGCAACTTCCAGAACCTGAGGGAATGTTCCAGTGGAAACCCTCTCAGTGGCCACCTCATGTCCCGAAGCAGGTCTCGCAGATGATATTGCAGAGCGTGTGTCCCGCTGAGTCTGTTACAGGCGTGTGACCAAGACAGTCTGGGACCCAGCACTCAAGATGCTGAAGAGGCTCTATGGGAGGAGATGCCTGTGGGGAAGATGTGTGTGAGGGAGACATAGGCAGGAGCCACCTAGGCTGATGGGCAGGGAAGGTCCTGAGGCAGGAAATGCAAAGGGGATGGTGAAAAGAAGCCAGACAGGAGGCGGCCCACATATGCCAAGAAACCTGCATGTTGTGGCCAGGGTGGGCAGAGCAGTCTGGGCTCAGGTGGGTGCCGTAGGACCTGCCCTTGAGCACCTAGTCACAGAGGTGGGACCTCTTCCAATAAACCAGCAGTTGCCAGAGAAATTCCCACAGAACCCTGGATGTTGATGAATGAAGAAGGGGTGCTGTGGTTGTAGAGTTTAAGGAACCTCTTGGGAAAAGCCAAACAGATTCCTTCCAGCAGGACTGGTCAGTGTAAACAGACACCATGCAGAGAAGCTCTCGGGGTCTGTAGGACACACTTGGGAAGTGGACAACAGAAACTCGGCCAGGAGGTAGCCACAGGGCTGGGGGAAGACAGGAGTGGGCCTCTCAGAGACTCATGGGTGGCCAGGGCAAGGATCATCAGTTATCCTTGAAACACACACAGCCTAGTCCTCAGAAATCCTCCCTGTTGGGGCCAGCCTGGGGGCGCAGCGATTAAGTGCGCGCACTCCGCTGCGGCGGCCCGGTGTTCGCAGGTTCAGATCCCAGGTGCGCACTGATGCACTGCTTATCAGGCCATGCTGTGGCGGCGTCCCATATAACGTAGAGGAAGATTGGCATGGATGTTAGCCCAGGGCCAATCTTCCTCAAGAAGTAAAGGGAAAGATTGGCAACAGATGTTAGCTCAGGGCTAGTCCTCTTCACACACACAAAACAATCGTCCCTGTCACTCTGCCCATTCCTCGCCATCTCCACCATCCCTCCCAGAGCCCCAGTCAGGTCTCTCACCTGGATGTTGTCCAGCATCCTCCCTGAATGGTCCCAGAACATTCTGCACTCATTCCCACCTGTACCCCTGCCAGGGGTGCTCTCCCTGTGGCTGTTTGGCATCACCCAGGGACATGCTGGCCCTGGCCTGGTACATGGTAGGAGGGTCCATTGGGCAGCCCAGGGGGAAAAGCACACGGCCCAACTCCAGGAAGGTCCTACAGATGCCACTGTGGACACCTGCCTTTGTTGTCTGCAGGTGTCAGCATGCCCGGTCACTGTGGCTGGGTCACTCCCTAGAAATGCAAACAGGACCCTGCCTGGACCTCACATATGCCATTCGATGGGCTCTGGGGGACCTGGGAATTAAAAATGTTTTCAGTGTCGATTGGGTTCACCCCTTGGCCTCATGGAGTGCTTTGGGTTTACATTTCCCCACAAAGCAAGCTATTCCGGGAGAGGCAGACAGATTGAACCACAGAGGTGTCGTCTGGTCTGTCCAGGACCTGACATCGCTTCCTCGATTTGAACCCTGCTGGCCTCTTCCTCCAATACCATCCCAATCATCTCAGAGCTGCCCACTGGACACAGGAGGCAAGGTGCTGCTGGGGTCAGAGGAGGATGGGGACATCCACCCCACCAGGGACAAGGGATGGAGGCCAGAGGCTGCTGCTGGTCCCCAGGGGGCCAGGGAGTGAGAGGGGGAGAATTGCAGACAAGTTTAAAAGTTTATTTCAGGGGGCCAGCCCCACGGCTTAGCGGTTAAGTGAGCGCGCTCCGCCACTTGCGGCCCGGGTTTGGATCCCGGGTGTGCACCAATGCACCGCTTGTCAGGCCATGCTGTGGCGGCGTCCCATATAAAGTAGAGGAAGATGAGCACGGATGTTAGCTCAGGGCCAGTCTTCCTCAGCAAAAAAGAGGAGGGTTGGCAGATGTTAGCTCAGGGCTGATCTTCTTCACCAAAAGAAAAAGTTTATTTCACCCCAAATTCAGGCTCACGTGATGACATTACAATGCAATTAGTTGGGAAAGGAAAGGAAAAGATTCATTTCTATGTGAATTTGGTTTCCTTAGTACTTTGATATTTTTGGTACTTTTTTCAAAGACCAGAAAGTCATTAAAGGGACTATTACAGTGATGCTTTATGAAAAATACCATACTCCCAACGCATTACCGCTGCTACAACAAATGTCATTTTTAAATCACGACATTCTCACACTAGATTAGGAGTTGGTGGGAGACAGATCAGCACCGTTTGCCCCATCCCTGTCATGCATGCTGAAAAGCTCTCTGAAGCACAACTCTTTAGAGATGGGCCACTTTGTCAGCACGTGTCTGTTTTGTTTTGAGTGTCGTTTCTAACCACGATTCTGAACACTTAGTGTTTGTGCAATGTGAAGTTCAGGCTCCATCTGCAGTTAGTCTCTGTGTGGCCCTGATGATGTCCCACTATTACAGGGTTCTGAGCACAAATACTTCCCTAAAGGGTTAAATATAAACTGCTCAGAAGTATCATTGTGAACCGGAAGTGTATCTCCCACTCTGTCTTCATCTGCATGTGTCACCAGTTGCTGTGGCAGGGGCCTGGCCTGCTCAGTCCCCCACCACCAGGGGGCGAGGGCAGTGTCCCCACAATATAGGGCAGAGGGGACCTCCCGCCCAGCTAGGAAGGCTGGGCTGGAAGTTGCCAGAACCCAGTGTGGCCTGGCTCTGCCCTCATCTGCAAGGATTTTGGATGACCTTCACCTCAGGACCTCTGAGTTCCCCTCCTGTAACATGCAGGGCCAGACTTGCCCTTCCCCGGGGTTCTCCAGGTGTCAGGGCTACACCGTTACTCTCATCAGGCCAAACATGTATGTGGCATCTGCTGGGTGCTGGGGACACAGCAAGAACCACATCAGACAAAGTCCCTGCCCTCGGGGAGTGGACATCCTACCAGGGGCCTGATAATGGGCCTCAAAAGGAGTGAGCGCTGTCCCGCCTGTGAAAGGGGAGCAGCATTCTTGTAGCATGGGGACAGGTGGTGTGACAGGACAGAGAGGAGACCTCCCTCAGCAAAGCCCTTTGGACTTCTGCTACATGGTCACTGAGATGGTGGGGAGGGGGTAGGCCAGCCCTCCTGTCTGGCCACTCCAGAACGGATGCTGGGCGGGCATGCGGGCCCTGCTGGTGGCATTCTGGAAGGTGAGGACTGCCACACGCACCCACCAGCACCTCGAGCACAGCTGAAACTTGGGTCATGTCCAGGAGGACACTGATGGATGGGTAAAGTGGCTGAGCCCCCTTGTCCAGGGGAGGGATCGAATCCCCGGATCCCCTCAGGTCCTTCTCCCCCCACCACTCAGGGCCATACCCAGAACTGAACTCGGGGGTAGGGGAGCAACCAACAGGGCTGAATGTGTGGCAGGGGCGTGGGCCAGAGGGTGACAATGACAAAGATGGGGTCACTGACCTCCTGGTATAACATGGACGCCAACAGCAGGTGACCAGGTGCCAGGGCCACTCCTGACACCACCACAAACCAACCCCAGCACATGCCTCAGAGCCAGGTCCCCAGTCTGAGTCCCCCTAACACCCTGTCCGGCAGCCACAGCACTGTTTCCTAAGCCACCTTCTCCCCAGGAAAAGGGATTTCATCTCTCTAAGAAGTTCCTCCTGCCTCCTGAATGTTCCTCTGTCCTCTGGCGCCGACAGAAGGAAGTCCCAGCTGGGCCACATCCAGATCCCTCACTCACAGGATCTGTTTCTCTCTCGGCATCTAGTTATCCTCAGATCCAAAACCTCCACTTAAGTAGACTATTTTTCAGGGATTATTTGCCTCTCCCTGGCTGTGTCTTGGAATGGCCGGAGGCCACACCTGTGGTTGGCCAGGCTGTGGGACACTCACATGCTTTTCCTGCAGAGTGCAAGGCCAGGTGGGTTTGGCACACAGACAGCCCCCGTGGCAGCGTCAACTCAGCCCCTGTGACAGGACAAGAGGCCCACAGCCACATCATCTCTCTCCAGATTCTTCCAATCTTCATTCCTTACCTCAGTGTTCATGGCCAGCGATGACAGCAAGTACTGAACACCCTCCCGTCCCTTCTCTTAACTCCTGTGAAAAGAGCCAGAACCTAAGTTGGGCCTCCTGAGAAACCAAGCGTCGAGCTCAAGTCCACACAACGTGACACACATTCGTGATGAGGGGGATGCCAAAGGCATTTTGATCAATGCAGTGGGAGCATTTAACAAGTGTTGGGGGGTGGGGGGCCAACCCCGTGGTGTAGTGGTTAAGCACGCCTGCTCCGCTGCTGGCAGCCCAGGTTTGGATCCCGGGCGCAAATGGACACACCGCTTGTTAGGCCATGCTATGGCGGTGTCCCACATAAAGTGGAGGAAGATCGGCACGGATGTTAGCTTAGGGCCAGTCTTCCTCAGCAAAAAGAGAAGGATTGGCATGGATGTTAGCTCAGGACTGATCTTCCTCATACACAAGAAAACAAGTGTTAGGGGCACCCAAAGGAATCACCAGTTCAAGGTCACAATTTGGGACCAAAGTGGATTTTTGAACCCGGTTCATTTCCTTCTCCCAAACCACACCAGCCTCTAACCTTCATGTTCAACTAATTTCTCAGAAGGCACCAGGCCGTGGGGTCATGTGAAGCGGATTATTCAAACAGGGCTGACTCCTAGCAGTGGCCCGGCACATGGAAGATACTCAGACACAAGGATATACTTATATTAAAGGAGTATTTGTCATTGATCTGAAACGCAAATCTAACGGGCATCCTGTATTTTCATTTGCTAAATCTGGCTACCCTAGAGGCTTAATAACTGCTTTGAATAAGGGAATATAGGAATGAAATCAGAGAGCTGGAAGATTACCAAGCCCAAACAAGGAATTTTACTGGTGGGAAACAGAGCTCACAGTGCTTTGAAGCACGCTTACTTCTTCTTCCCATCAGAATAAAATTCCACCTCCTCCCAGGCCCACAATATCAGCTGGCCTCTCCCACCTCATCTCCTCCCACCAGCTCACTGGCGGCTTTCTACCCCGTGCCCGGTGCCACCTCAGGACTGTGGCGCCTGGTGTTCCCCTCTGCCCAGAATGCTCATCCCCAGGCTGAGGCCTCCTTAAGATTCAGGTCTCTCCTCAAATCCACCTGCTTGCAAGCCCCCGACTCCTGCCCTGGCCAGAGGCCTCCCAGTCACTGTGTCACACCTCTGATTACTTTTCTTCATCATTATCATCATCATCATCATCATCAGTAGTTGAAATCACCTTGTTCATTTTCTTGTCAGTCTGTCCTTCCCCATGCAACTTGCTCACTGCAGCATCCAGACAGGTGACCACAGGCCTCTGAGTAGCAATAGGTGACAGCTCCAGTGGGGAACCTAGACCTTGCACTGAAACTCCTACCACAAGCCTCATATCCTCCTAAGCTGCAAGCTCCTGGCTCTCAGTATCACCAGGAGCAGGAGCGAGGGCTTCTGGATCAGGGGGTCCTAGTGACACCTGCACTAGCAAGAAGGTAAATTAGTCTCTAGATAATGGCAAAAGGTGATTCAGCCTTTCATAACCCATGACATGTGGAAATACCCCTGCCCCAAGGATCTTAGGCTCTTCTTCCTCCTTGGTGCTTCTAGGGCTTTCTTCCTATGCTGGACAGCAATGTTGGGCTAAAGGTACTCAGTTCTCAGGAACATTCTAGAAGCTGGAACCAAACCCCAAAGGACAGTCCCGAGTCACTGATTGAGACTGGCAACTCACATCCGTGGTGAGAAGCATCGCCCTCCAGAGCACTTGCTCGTGGTTTAAAAGATCAGAGCATGTGCTTTTGTGTGTGCGCAAAATTAAGTTGGCCTCATACGCCTGCGTGTGGAATAGAACCTCTCTAGTGGGACGTGCAAGAGACTGGTGTCATAGCCTGTGGGCGAGGGGACAGAGGTCTGAGAGTCAGGGTGAGAGAGAGATGCCTCCTCTTGGGTGCCTTTGCCCACTCCTCTACCCCATGGTGCCCAGCCTTTGTTAGGAGCTCATTAAATATTTGTGGAATAGATTAATATACCAACGAATGAACGAACTCTTGAAAGGTTACTCGTCCAAAAGATCAAAATAAGATGGAGGCACTAGGTGTTCTCTTTCATTCCAAGCCATCTTCTCACTGCTCACCCTACCATCCGCCCAGTGCCAGCCCCATGCCTACCTAGTTAGGGAGAAAGAAGGGAGAATCTGTGTGAACCAGACACATTTCTATAGTTGCTACTCACCGGGGGAAAAGTCTCCTCCAGCTCTCTCATCTATGCTTTGGCAACAATCCAGGAGAAAATTCTCATAAAGAGGACCAGAGCCTTGGTGAGCAGATGTGTCAGAGGTTGAGCAGCAGCAGGAAGGACTAGGCTGGCCCAGTTTGGGTGGAAGCCAAAGGCAGGAGACCCTGATGGCTGCTTCCCGGTAGACTGGCCCCGGATGCCTTAAGATGGAGGCTGGAAGCTGCTGGGCAGTGACAAGGAAATTTCCCTCACTAAGGCACATGCATGACCCATGGGGTGCGGCCTCTGAGTGCCCAGAGTTCCTTGGGGACTCCTGAATTTCACTGGAGATAGAAGCATAAATGCTGGATCCCCACGCCGCCTGTTCTGCTGCTGGAATTTAACAACCACAAAGGTGCAGGGAGTCTCATGGCCTCTGAGACTCAGGCAGCCTCTGCCAAGAGATTTGGCTGTTGCCTGGCTGCCTAACTTGCTCAAGTCACACCCTCTCTGGGCTTTCCTCATTTGGAAAATGTCAAAGATGGACTAGCAGATTTCTTGACTTCCTCTTGGCTCTGACAGTCCCCCACATGGGATTATCTACAGGAAGCAGGGACACGGAGGGGAGAAGTGAGCAGGCATTCAGAAAAGGCAAATGATCCAGGCATTTACTGTTTAAATGTAATTTGCCACGTGTATATTAAATGTTTATGTGTATTTACTATGTGTATATTGAAGAATGTAGTTCTATCCTCTGGGAATAGATTATCTAGTGGAGAAGGAAAGAAAGAGAGAGAGAGACAGAGAGAGAAGCAAGGAAGAAAAGCCAGCCTATACACTTTACATAGTGAGTTGATACTAAATGCACAAAAACGATGATTATAAACAGAAAATATTAATCACCAATACACTCGCTATGGCCCCAGCAGATGGAAAGGCTCGACTGGAGTCGGGGATTTTGTTTTTCACTCTTTTCACTGAAACACCTTCCTGCCTTTCCTTGCCGAAGCCCAAAGAGGTGTGACCATGCCCAGGACTGATTTGAAGTGGCAGAAAGGACTCTGGGGAGGGTGTGGGCAAGTGCAAAGAACTTAGGATTGGAATTCAGACCTAGGTTTTGGTTTTATTTATTTGTGACACTGGCTGAACTAAAAACCCTGAGACTCTGGGGTCGGCCTGGTGGCGCAAGTGGTTAAGTGTGTGCGCTCCGCTGCAGCAGCCCGGGGTTCGCCGGTTCGGATCCCAGGCGTGCACCGACGCACTGCTTGTCTAGCCATGCTGTGGTGGCGTCCCATATAAAGTGGAGGAAGATGGGCATGGATGTTAGCCCAGGGCCAGTCTTCCTCAGCAAAAAAAAGAGGAGGATTGGCAGATGTTAGCACAGGGCTGATCTCCTCACAAAAATAAATAAATAAATAAATAAGCCTCGGGCCGGCCCTGTGGCTTGGTGGTTAAGTGCACGCGCTGCAATGCTGGTGGCCCGGGTTTGGATCCCGGGTGCGCATCGAGGCACCACTTCTCCGTCCATCCTGAGGCCGAGTCCCACATACAGCAACTAGAAGGATGTGCAGCTATGACATACAACTATCTACT